ATCACACCAGATAGAGGAATCATCATTTCAACTTAAATCTAAAGAGATCAATTAGAAAAGATCCAACTCAATCCATAAGACGTTTGGAACGTGAGAGACGAGTTTCTGTTATGACAGTCCAAAGAGAAGTGAAAAAAAGACTTGAAAATTAAATCGTACCTAAGAGGACGAAGATCATTCTGGAATGATTGGAAAATGATCTTGGAATATATATATATATATATATATATATATATGTGTGTGTGTGTGTGTGTGTGTGTGTGTGTGTGTGTGTGTGTGTGTGTGTGTGTGTGTGTGTTTGAATAAAAACAGACCACGTTAAGATTCCATGTAATAAACTATTTCACCATAACCCCTTTTACAGGGTTCTGGATCATCAGACTTTACTTCCAAAAAGCTGAAATGAAAATGAAAAAGAAATTCACACGTTTTGACGGACCTCATCAAGTATACGTAAAATTAACGCAGTGAGGAAGTGATGTGGGAGAGGGATATGAGGTGTGTCATATGTATCATTTCAATTTCCTATTTTTAACCCCAGTGTGTCGGCTAGATGTTGCTCAAATTTAACGCGTCTCGTTTCTAGATATAGATGGCTAAGGGGTGAATGAGAAGAACGACATTAAAGGAAGAAGCTACAACAACCCCAATCAATTACACGACAGGTTTCCTTCAAATTCTTAGACGCTCTTAATTTGCGTTACTTTAACGTGCATATTTGGGAGGTTAAGGTTTGATAAATATCTAAATGTCTATTTGAACTTTAGTTCAATACTTCATGAGCTTCCGATCCTTAGCTATGATTAATAATAACGAACATGTCATTTTCGTTTATGATCGATTTCATCACGATTCTTTTATTATCATGTAATTATACATTCTTGTTGCTCAAAGTAGACTTCAATAGTGTTATAGAACCTCGGAGAATTCCAGTAAGATATCTTTAATCATTTCTAAGATACAACAATGGGACAATTTTACTGTTACACGATTTGGACAATTTTGCTGTTGCACCCTGTATATATGGGTGTTATGGATAAATTGTCCGCATTTTATATTTTTAATTTTTCGATTTTGTCGACTGCACATTATAGTAGGGTCAGTTGGGCACCGTCTGTGAGAAAAGGAGTGCCTTGGCGCAATTCAATCAACCAGAAATTTGGAAACGGCATGGCCTACTGCTTAGCATTTACGATGGAAGCTCCAATACGAACATTTTTTAGCGTTTGGGTGTGAATCTGAAGACTCGGGAAGAGTTGGATGAGTCTAATAGTGAGCACGATGGTATTTGGAGTGATCATCAAGTGCCTCGAGGAGGTAGTGCTGCCCTGGATCAAGAGCGTGGCTGTTGGAAGACCCTATGTCTGGCAAAAAGACTCCGCATCATGTTACACAAGCAGGAGAACCCAGTCAAGGCTGTCAGATAATTTCTGCGACCATATCACCCCTTGCATCTGGTCACATAACTCCCCAGACTGCACCCTGCTTAATTATTATGTGTGGGACACAGCTGAGCGAGAGACCAACAAAACTCATTGTAACACCAAAGATGAAGTGAAGACAAGGATTATGGCAGCATTCACCAACTTAAAGAAGGAGACCGTCCAGAAGAGTTGCAGGAGATTACGAAGTCGATTGGAAGCCGTGGGTGAAGCCAATAGCGATTTTATTGAATAAATTAACTCAGTGTTTCAAGATATTTTTGTGTACTTTTTTGTAAATATACTTGTTAAAATGAGATGTCAGTGTTATTTTCATTTTTGTGTAATTTAGACGACAATTTATCCATCGCACCCTGTATGCCTGTTAAAATGAGATGTCAGTGTTATTTTCATTTTTGTGTAATTTAGACGACAATTTATCCATCGCACCCGTATATCTGTTAAAATGATATGTCAGTGTTATTTTCATTTTTGTGTAATTTAGACGACAATTTATCCATCGCACCCCGTATATCTGTTAAAATGAGGTGTCAGTGTTATTTTCTTTTTTGTGTAATTTACGTAATTTACAGTGCTAGAGAAGAAAATGGCGATAATAACCTTTCCAAAATAAGTTTATACTTCAAAGCCAAATAGCTAATTTCTAAATGGTTAGACGAAAAGAAATTCCTACTACGTTATTTACAACCGCATCATCCGCGTCCTGGGTAATGCGATAAACTACATCCGCGTCCAGGTTAAGACGATAAACTACGTCCAACAACAAGGCCTCTGATCAGGAGGCTTTGAAGAGTGAAACCACCTCTTAATTGCTGGTGTTCTAGGTCCACCCTGACCCGGGGTGGTAGCATTGTTAGGGTCTCAGCTATGGGCAAATAGTTAACCCCGAAACTGAGGCAAAAGCATTATAAATATGTAAAATAGGTTTTAATACCAGAAATATTTTGTAAAAATTATTACAAAATAAATTTTTGAAAAAAAAACAATATTAAGAAATTTTTGAAGAAAAAAATTATTACCAGAAATAAATTTTGAAATAAAAAGAAAAAAAATATTACCAGAAATAAATTTTGAAAAAAAAATATTACCAGAAATAAATTTTTGAAAAAAAAAAATATTACCAGAAATAAATTTTGAAATAAATTTTGAAAAAATTACCAGAAATAAATTTTTGAAGAAAAAAAATATTACCATAAATTTTGAAAAAAAAAAACAATATTTTGACCAGAAATAAATTTTTGAAAAAAAAAATATTACCAGAAATAAATTTTTGAAGAAAAAAAAATATTACCAGAAATAAATTTTTGAAGAAAAAAAAATATTACCAGAAATAAATTTTTGAAGAAAAAAAATATTACCAGAAATACGTTTTTGAAAAACATAATATTACCAGCTATACGTTTTTGAGGAAAAAATATTACCAGAAATAGATTTTTGACAAACAAAAATATTACCAGGAAAAAAAAATGTTGTCGGCATTAAATGACCCATTGAGGTGTAGATATGCCGTAAAACAAAACAAACCAAACCAAACCAAACAACCGCATAATCTTAATAAATAAACGGCAAATTCTGTCTGTCGGTCCGTGTGTCTGAAATCGTCTAACTCGGGTGATACTTGATCCACACATACATATTATACCTGTTTGGAATCATGATGATCCCAAAATTGAAAATATGACCTTCATCTGGTGTTTGGACATCCGGCATTGAAATTGGTGTCCCGATAAGGAGGGAACAGTTAAAAATTTTAATGTTAAAATAACTGAAAAAAATTAGTGATTTTACGTTTCTTCATGTATTTTGAGCTTTCTGTAACAAAAAACCTTGTGAATTTAAAAACATTTGTTTTAAATTCGGTTTGAAGTGTCTCCAAAAATTTGTGAAATCAGAAAGCGAATTTTATTTCTTCAAAATGGCAAGGAATCAGAATTAAAGTGAGAGGTTTCGTCCCATGAGGTTTTGAAATTCCGCAGTTTGTAATTTGAAATCTCTCTAGACATCTGTCTCATTCCTTTCATATCTACCGACCTATTTATCTATCTATACATTTTATTCTTTCATATTTATATATTTCTCTATCTATCCCATTCTGTTCATCTCGACATATCTATCTCATCTTCACTCGGATTTTCGGCCCAAATTGGTTTTTTGGACAGAATTGGACTTAAAGCCTGAATCACAGTTAAAGTGAGATTTTGAAGTTCATTGGAGTTTGTGATTTTGTTGTAGAGTAATTTTCACAGTGGAGGCTTGTATTTCAATAAGTCGTCCTAAATTAGATTCGACGTACAAAACGTTAGGAACTTGGAAATAAGAGTTAATGACGCAGCAATCTAGTTGTGATGGTTGGTACTTCAATGTCCGATATCGACTGACTCGCTCAACACCACTGAGCCCAACTGGCGAGCGCTACTACTACTACTACTTACTATCTGTGGGAGAGTCTATTAACAATAGAATAGGTACGTCAGGTATAACAGATTTGAAGTTCAACTAAATTTTGGGGCTGAATTGGAATTTCGGCCCAAATTGGTCTTTTGGACAGAATTGGACTTAAAGCCTGAATCAAAGTGAAGTCTTGAAGTTCCATGGAGTGAATTGAGGAATTCAGAGTTATTTCTTCAGAATTACAATTGATGTTACCTAAGCTGAACCAGAGGTCTCTTTAGTGTTGGGCTGGAGACTCAATTTGCCCTCCGCAGGTGTTAGCTTGAAAGTCCGCATGGAGTGCGGCTTAAAGCTAGTGATAAATAAATATAATAAGTAATCCATAACGTACACCTTATAAACTTTATTCCAGATGACAAAACCTAGAACGACAGAAAATGTACAAATTAAATAAATAAAATCTATAAATGAGTAAAATAAATTAATATATAAGTAAATTAGACCAGAAATATCCCTAAACATTTTACACACTTCCTCCAACCACCTAACCAGCATAAACAACCAATGTATAGGCCACAATAATTGTAAGAATCCGCAGTGAAAATCGCAAAAGATGCCTTCGAAAATCTAAACAAAGTATTAAGAAACAGGAAAATTTTGTTACAAGCGAATACGACTGTTGAACTGCTATTGCAACATCGATCGTCCAACATGACAGAGACATTTCCCGCTCAAATGAAGCGGAGAGGCGAAGAGACAGAAATACGGCTCTACAGGAGAATACTGAGAATACCATGGGGGAAAACATGTGAGGGACGAGGAAGTTGTAAGCAAAGAACATGTGTACTTGAAAGAGACAGCTGAACATTCCGGGACACTTGATAGGGAAAGAAGGCTAGGAAAAATTGACACTTACATGACATGTTGAAGTCAAGCGGGGAACTGTCATCTGGTATCTACCTAACGAGTTTGTGTAAACGGATCACAGAACTGGGAGACAAATACTCCTAAGAGATACAAAGGATAGGAAGTTTTGGAGAGCCATGAACGCCCACGCCTTGAAGGGTCACGAAACATGGAATAATTTTACCTGTAGCCTAGTGGTTACAGTGTTAGCGTTCTGATCATGAGACTCAGTATCGATTTTCACTAGTCGTTTAGTGAAGGATGTCTTATCATTCTTTCTTACCTACTCCCTTTTATTCATCTATTTCTTCCTTATTTGCATCATTCAGCCGTTCATTGTTTTTTCTTCATTTATTCATTCGTTCTTTCCATATTTCAATCCTTCGTGTAATCAGTCGTCTCAACTTTACTTCCTTCTTTCTTTCATTCTTTTCTTCCTTTCAAACTTCCTTCCTTCATTTTTTTCCTTCATTCATTTTTCCTTTCTTCCTTCATGACTTTAATATTTCTTTTTTATTCATTCGCTCTTTCCATATGTCAATCTTTTATGCAATCAGGTGTCTCAACTTTCCTTCCCTTATTCATTATTTTATCCTTCCAATTTTGCTTCATTCTAACTTTCTTTCATTGATTCGTTCTTTCATTTCTTCCTTCATAATTTATTTATTTTGTTTGTTTATTCATTCGTTTGTTCCATATTTCAATTCTTCACGCAGTCAGTCGACGTAATTATCCTTCATTCTTTTCTTCTTCCCAGCCTACTTTCCTTCATTCATTTATTTTTCGTTTTTTTCCTTCATGATTTCTTTCATTATTTCTTTTGTTTACTCATTCGTTCTTCCCATATGTCATTCCTTCATGCAGTCATTCGTTTGAACTTTCTTCCCTTCATTCTTTTTCCCCCTTCCAACCTTCTTCATTCATTCTTTCTTTTTTTCCTTCATGACATAAATATTTCAATCCTTCATGCAATCCCACGTCTCAACTTGCCGTCCTTCCTTCTTTCCTACCTTCCTTCCTTTCTACCTCTCTTCCTTCCATTCATTCATTCATTCATTCATTTTTTCCTTCCTTCCTTTCTTCTTCCCACCCTTCCTTCCTTCTTCCTCCCCTATTTCATTCCCTTCACTTTTCCTTTCTTCTTTCTTTCTTTCTTCTTCCCTCCATCCCTTCTTCCTCCCTCCCTTCCTTCCTTCCTCCTCCCCTCTACTTTCCTTCCTTCCGTCATTCTTTCCTTCCTTACCTCCTTCCTTCCTTACTCCCTTCCATCATTCCTTCTTTCCTTCCTTACTCCCTCCCTTCCTCGTTTGCTTCTTTCCTTCCTTACTCCCTTCCTTCCTCCTTTCCTTCCTTCCATACTCGCTTCCTTCCTCCTTTCCTTCCTTCCTTACTCCCTTCCTTCCTCCTTTCTTCCTTTCCTTCCTTCCTTCCTTCCTCATTTCCTTCCTTCTTTATTCCCTTCCTTCCCCCTTTCCTTCCTTCTTTCCTTCTTTACTCCCTTCCTTCCTCCTTTCCTTCATTACTTCCTTCCTTACTTTTACTCCTTGCCTTCCTCTTTCCTTCGTTCCTTCTTTCCTTCCTTACTCCATTCTTTCCGTCCTTTCATCCGTACTCCCTTCTTTCCTTGCTTCTTTCCTACCTTACTCCCTTCCTTCCTACTTTCCTTTTCTTCTTTCCATCCTTACCCTTACTTACTCCCTTACTACCTCCTTTCCTTCCTTCCTTCGTCCTTTCCTTCCTTCTTACCTTTCTTCCTCATTTCCTTCCTTAATCCCTTCCTTCCTTACTTCTTTCTTTCCTACGTTACACCTTTCCTTCCTCCTTTCCTCCCTTCTTTCCTTCCTTCCTTCCTTACTCCCTTCCTTCCTTCTTTACTCCCTTCCTTCCTCCTTTCCTTCCTTCTTCCTTCCTTACTCCCTTCCTTCCTCCTTTCCTTCCTTCCGTAGTCCCTTTCTTCATTCATTCATTCTTTTTTTCCTTCATGACATAAATATTTCAATCCTTCATGCAATCCCACGTCTCAACTTGCCGTCCTTCCTTCTTACCTACATTCCTTCCTTTCTACCTCACTTCATTCCTTCCATTCATTCATTCATTTTTTCCTTCCTTCTTCCCTCCCTCCCTCCCTCCCTCTACTTTCCTTCCTTCCGTCATTCCTTCCTTCCGTCCTCCTTTCCTTCCGTCCTTTGTCCTTTCTGCCCTTACTCCCTTCTTTCCTTCCTTCCTTCTATCCTTCCTTAATGCCTTTCTTCCTCATTTCGTCCCTTCCTTCCTTACGCACTTACTTCATTCCTTCTTTCCTGCCTTACTCCCTTCTTTCCTTCTTTCCTTCCTTTCTTCCTCCCTTCATTCCTTCCGTCTTTCCTCCCTTCCTTCCTTCCGTCATTCTTTCCTTCCTTCCTTACCCCCATTCCTTCCTCCTTTCCTTCCTTCCTTCTTACCCTCTTGCACCCTTCCTCCGTCCTCCCTTCCTTCCTTCCTTCCATCCTTTCTTCATTCCTTCCTTCCTTCCTTACTCCCTCCTTTCCTTCCTTCCTTCGTCTTTACTTTCCTTACTCCCTTCCTTCCTTCTTTCCTTCCTTCCTTCCTTTCTCCATTCCTTCCTTCCTTCTTTCTGTCCTAACTTCCTTCCTCCTTTCCTTCCTTCCTGACTCCCTTGCTCCTTTCCTTCCTTCCTTCCTTCCTTCCTTCCTTCCTTCCTTTCTTCCTTCATTCTTTACCTCTTACTCCATTCCTCCCTCATTTCGTTCCTTTCTTCTTTCCTTCCTTACTCCCTTCCTTCCTTCCTCTTTTCTTACTTAACTCCCTTCCTTCCTCCTTTCCTTTCTTCCTTACTCCCTTTTTTCCTTCCCTTTTCTTCCTTCCTTCTTGCCTTCCTTCGTCTTTTCCATTCTTACTCCCTTCCTCCCTCCTTTCCTTCCTTTCTTCTTTCTTTCCTTACTCCCTTCCTTCCTCCTTTCCTTCCTTCGTCTTTTCTTTCCTTACTCCCTTCCATCCTTACTCCCTTTTTTCTTTCCTTCTTTCCTTCCTTACTCCCTTCCTTCCGTCTTTCCTTCCTTCCTTCTTTCCTTCCTTTCCTTCCTTCCTTCCTTCCTTCTGTCTAACTCCTTCCTTCCTCCCTTTCCTTTCTTCCTTCCTTACTTTCCTTCTTTCCTTTCCTTCCCTTCCTTCCTCCTTTCCTTCCTTCTTTTCTTTCCTTCTTTCCTTCCTTACTCCCTTCCTTCCGTCTTTCCTTCCTTCCTTCTTTCCTTCCTTACACTCTCTTCCTTCCTTACTCTCTTCCTTCCTTCCTTCTGTCCTAACTCCCTTCCTTCCTCCTTTCCTTTCTTCCTTCCTTACTATCTTCCTTCTTTCCTTCCTTACTCCCTTCCTTCCTCCTTTCCTTCCTTCGTCTTTTCTTTCATTACTCCCGTCCTTACTCCTTTCCTTCCTTCCCTCCTTTCTTTCTTTCTTTCTTTCTTTCTTTCTTTCTTTCTTTCCTTCCTTCCTTCCTTCCTTCCTTCCAGCCTTCCTCGCTTCCTTTATTTATCTCCGTACATTGATTGAAATAAAGAAACTCAAGCAAAAAATAGGCTCAAAATGTCAAGGTTTTTCTAGTAATTTATTTATTCCATTGGCTCACCAGTCCTTCTCCCAGTGACAATACTTATTGATTTTTCTCAATATCGACCACGTTTTATCTCTCGCCTTCTCTTTCTCTTCTTATTACTTTCTTTTTTTCTTTTTCTTTTTCAGTCTATCACGTTCTTTCTTTTTCTCTACCTCCCGCCTCTATTTTTCTCCCCTTTTTTTTCTCTGACTTCTTCCCCCGGTTCTTTTTCGCTCCATTTATTTCATTTACTCTCTTTCTCCGCCTTTTGTGTTCCCAACTATCTCTCTCTCTCTCTCTCTCTCTCTCTCTCTCTCTCTCTCTCTCTCTCTCGCCTTTTCCGAATTTCTCCGTCTTACCTATTCCCCCTCTCTCTCTCTCTTTTCCACTCTCGAACCCCCCCCTCTCTCTTCCACCCTCTCTCTCACTCGCTTTTTCTTTGCTTGTCTACCCTTTTCCCTGCTTTACACTTCCTTCTTTCTCTCTCCCTTTCCCTCTTTCGATCTCTTTCCTTTCTATTCCTCCTACCTTATGACGTTCTCTCTCTCTCGTTTCTTTCCCTTTCCAGTTCCTCCCCCTCTCTCTCTCTCTCTCCCTCTCTCTCTTTCTCTCTATTTGCTTGTCTTCCTCTTTTGCCTGTTTTACACTTCCTTGTCTTTCTCACATTTCCTCTCTCTCCATTCCCTTCTTACTTCCTCTTTCCTTTCTATTCCTCTCACCTATCTCTCACTCACTAGCTTTTCCTCCTTCTCTCTGTTTTTCTAGTTCTTCCCTTCCTCTTTCCCTTCCTCTCCTCATCTCTCTCTCTCACTACCTCACTCCGAGCCTGTCTTTTTCCCTTCCGTGTCACACTTACTTTTTTACTCTCATTTTCTCTCTCTCTTCTCTCTCTTTCCCATTCCTTTGTATTCCCCCACCTATCCCTATTTCTTCCCCTTTCTAACTAATCCATACCCTTTCTCTCACTCTCTTCGCCTGTCTTCCTCTTTTCTCTGTTTTTCTCTTCCTTGTCTTTTTCCCTTACTTTTTTATATCTCTTTTCCGTTCATTTTTTGCATTTTCTTTTTCTCTTTCTTCCTTTTAATGAAAACATAAGGAATATATATTTTTATATTCCTCTCCCTCTCTTACTTTGTCTTTCTCCCTTTTAGCATTTTCCCCTAATCCTCCCCCTATCTCTGTATATATCTATCTCTATTTCTCTCTTACTATATACTAATATGTCATTCTCTTTCCTCCACGCTTTCTCTCCTTCTTACTCTCTTTCCCTCACTTCCGTCATTCTTAAATGCCCGCTATGCTCCTCTCTTTCTTCTCCGCACTCTCTCTCTCTCTCTCTTACCCTCTCTTTCCCCTTCTTTCCATCATTCTTAACTGGCCGCTAAGCCCCTCTCTTTCTTCCTCGTTCTCTCTCTGTCTCTCTCTCTCACTTACCCTCTCTTTACCCTTCTTTCCATCACGCTTATCTTCTCGCTTTGTCACTCTCTTTCCTCTCTGCTTTCTCTCTCTCCCTCTCTCTGTCTTTCTTACCCTCTCTTTCCCCTTCTTTCTATCACTCTTAACTGCCCGCCATGACCTTCTCTTTCCTCTCCGCTTTCTCCCTTTCTCTTTACTTTCCCTCTCTTTCCCCTTCTTTCCATCATTCTTAAATGCCCGCTATACTCCTCTCTTTCTTCTCTGGTCTCTCTCGCTCTCTCCCTCTTTCTTACCCTTTCTTTCCCCTTCTTTCTATTACTCTTAACTTCCCGCTGTCACTTTCTTTCCTCTCCGCTTTCTCCCTCTCTCTTTCTTACCATTTCTTTCCCCTTCTTTCTATTACTCTTAACTTCCCGCTGTCACTTTCTTTCCTCTCCGCTTTCTCCCTCTCTCTTTCTTACCCTTTCTTTCCCCTTCTTTCTATTACTCTTAACTTCCCGCTGTCACTTTCTTTCCTCTCCGCTTTCTCCCTCTCTCTTTCTTACCCTCTCTTTCCCCTTCTTTCCATCATTCTTAACTGACCGCTAAGCCCCTCTCTTTCTTCTCCGCTCTCTCTCTCTTTCCATTACTTTTAAATGCTCGCTGTGTCCCTCTCTTTCTTCTCGGTTCTCTCTCTCCCTCTCTCTCTGTCTTCCTTACTCTCTCTTTCCCCTTCTTTCTATCATTCTTAACTGCCCGCTATAACCCTCTCTTTCTTCTTCGCTTTCTCTCTCTCTCTCTTTCTTACCCTCTCTTTCCCCCTTCTGTTATAGTGGAACACACCTATTCTATTCTTAATAGAATCCCCCACCTATAATAAGTAGTAGTAGCAGTCGCTCAGTGAGTTGGTCAGTCAGTCGACTGGCTGATCGGTTGATCTCTCTGCCTTCGGGCGTGGAGGAACCCGAACGAGGCTACGCCGAAGGGCGGAGTCTCTTTCGGGGAGGTAAACCGACCCTGAACCCGTTTATACAGGTTCAATGGGCATATTTTTGGCCGAGCCCACGGACACGGAGATCCCACGGACACGGAGATCCCACGGACACGGAGATCCCACGTTAAACCAGCCTTGTGCCACATGATGCCCTCGTGGGGGGTGACTAAATATCGAGTTGGTCAGTCAGTCGACTGGCTGATTGGTTGAACTCTCTGCCTTCGGGCGGGGAGGAACCCCAAAGAGGCTACACCGAAGGGCGGATTCTTTTTCGGGGAGGTAAACCGACCCTGTACCCGTTTATACGGGTTCAATGGGCATATTTTTGGCCGAGCCCACGGGCTCGGTGATCCCACGTTAAACCGGCCTTGTGCCACATAATGCCCTCGTGGGGGGGGACTAAATATCGAGTTGGTCAGTCAGTCGATGCCGGATAGCCGTTAGTCGGATATTAAAGTATCAGCCACCACAACTAGATTACTGCGCCATTACGTATTATATCAAGTTCCTAACGTTTTGTACGTCGAACCTATTTTAGGACCGACTTAGTACAAATACAAGCCTTCACTGTGAAACCACTACAGAACATCTTTCTATCAATCTTAACTGCCCGCTATGACCCTCTCTTTCTTCTCCGCTCTCTCTCTCTCTCTCTCTCTCTCTTTCTCTCTTTCTCGTTCTCTTTTCTTTCTTTCGCTTTTCCTCATGGATGCGCGAGTGGTGTAATGATTAGCAACTCGAAATAAGAAGTCGCAGTTCGAATTCCAGTCGAGTTCGTTGCAAATATCCTTGGGAAAGTTATGAGTCCACCCCCCTCCAGTTATGGGCCAAACAGCATTATTTGTATCTGGGAAAAAATCATTGTTATATCCCAAAAGAAATTTTAATGCTATATTCGCTGACAAAAAAAAAAAACAAATTTCTTTTTACAATAAAAATAGCTTAGCTTCTAAGAACCAACAAAGTTGATAAGCTGTAAAAAAAAAAAGAAATACAATCATTACCTTTCCTTCTGTCTTCCCCTCTTTCTATCTCACCCTTTTTTCTTTCTCTACTTACCCTCTCTTCACTTCTTCTTCTCTCTTTCATTGTCTTCCTCCATCGTTCCTTTTCTTTCTTTAAATATCCATGATATATATATATATAGCGATTTCCCAAGCGTAGCTTAGAGGTCGCACAAGGCCGAAAGTATGAGGCACCCAATGAGGATCGAACTCATTACTCAGCCGTAACTGTTCTAGCGAGACAAGCTTGCTAAACATTACACCACGCCGAGGTGTCCCCATTAGATTTATATATAAGCCTTATATCTGTTATAATAGTCACACACGCACACATACATATGCACAAGAGGATGGGGGAACTAGAGAGAGAGAGGGGGGAACTAGAGAGAGAGATGGGGAACTAGAGAGAGATATGAATTTGCGTACAATACCTCGACAGTAAATGCTTAGTATAACACTCATCTGCGCAAACATGTACATACATGGGGCGATAGATAAATTGTCGGCAAAATGACGCCCTATTGAAAATAACACTATCTCATTTTAACAATGCAATGGATAAATTGTCGTCTAAATGATGCCAAAATGAAAAATAACTCATTTTAACAGATAGACAGCGTGCGATGGATAAATTGTCGTCA